AAACAAGCAAACATTAAACAACTAATATTAATCTATTAATTATTAATTATTTAATAATAATTTATAATTTTAGCCGTTACTCCATCGACTTTTATTCTCTGGTTCGATTATCGAATGGAACTATTAGATATTTGGTTCAGTTCGATTATTTGGAATTTCCAGTTCGGTTTACACTTATTTAGTATGTATAATTTCAGTTATTTAAACTTAAATAAAATCACATGCAATCTAATATTAAAAATTATATTGAACAGAAATTGTTTCAATGTTAAACAGAACACTAAGAACAAATATTTTATGACATAATACCTAAACAATATTAAATAGACAATGAGGAACGATGACTTACAGTAAATTTAATTAGTAGATAGATATATGTTAAATGATTTTAAATTTATAACTCATATATTTCAGCAAGTTAATAACCCTTCCACTGCTTCAAACGTACTACTATATCCAACAGAGCATAAAACTATTGACTCAGCAGTGGGCATTATTAACTCTTAAATGGTATCTTTATTACGAATTGAGTAACTACACTAAGTAGAACTGTTGATAACTATATTAGTGACAAGTAGGGGAGGCCCAAAGGGAGGTAGCGTTGAATTAAAATTCTCTGATACCTATACGGAATTTAAATTTGAGTGAAGATGGTATGTCAGCCTACAATATTTTATTTCATCACTTCTATAATTTATAATTTTGTACCTATAGCTTGAATTCTTTTTTGTGAAAAGAACATTATAATTGCATCTCCATTTTCCTAAAATCAAGCCCTATTTTTTAGTGAATCCCGACACAAAGTGTGTAATCCGAAATTGAAAGTGTGCACTACAGATTCCAGAAGTGTGTACCTACTAAATACTAATAAATAAGACTACTTGATAGATAGTAATAGGTAGTACAGAACACATTATACAGGTTTTTTTAAAATAATATTTTTTTAGCCCCCCACGATTCTATATTATTTCATGGTACCTAGATTAAAAGATGTGTAGTACGAATTTTTGTGAAAAATAGGGGCTGTCTAAAATGATTAGTTATTTTTTCTTTTTGATGACAATATAAGTTATAGGTATTTCTATGAGAGACATATATTCTATTTTTAATACTAACCCATATAGATTGAACGTTTAATARTTTTTAACTACAAATTAATTGTGGTTTTGTCAAGRACTGAACATGTAAACTTTAAGAAAAAAAATATTGTTCTTATGTATCATTCATATTTTTAAATACCTATCTAGCTATRATCAAACATATTATAGCTATTTAAACTTTTTGATCGAATAAAAAATTTATCATCAACGTTTATGGAAAGAAAACTAAAATTAATCAAATACAATTCAAGCGAAGACGGTCTAACCAAGTAAAATCAAATAGTTTTAGTCAAATGTTTTTTTTTTTTTTTTTGTGTGTGTCTGTCTACACTTCTACAGCATAACTAGTCGAAATAATGCATCAATTTCAAACTTTGGGGGTGGTTTCCGATGTAAAATTGAATATCCTTGGTGCATTATACAGATTAAAAGTAAACATTTTCCAACAGTTTTCAAAAAAATCGAGAAAAACAAAAAAAAAATGACAGAAAAACGGGAATTTTTACGCAAAATCAGTTCTCGACCAAATCGATTTTTTTATACGGTTGTAATTCAAAAACTAATCACTGTAAATACTTGAAATTTTCACCAAATGTT